CCTCGTTAGGTGGCCTGTAGTAGACTCCTAGCATGACATCACCCTTGTTTTTTACCCCTTTTAGCCTAACTCAGAGACTCTCAACACTTCCGTCTCCTATGTCCATCTCTACCTCAGTCCACGTGTGTACATTTTTAATATATAAGGCAACTCCTCCTCCCTTTTCCCCCTGTCTATCCTTCCTGAGCAAGCTGTATCCATCCACACCAACATTCCAATCATGTGTATTATCCCACCAAGTTTCAGTGATGCCAACAATGTCATAGTTGTATTTATTTATTAGCACTTCCAGTTCTTCCTGCTTATTACCCATACTTCTCGCATTTGTATATAGGCATCTAAGATACTGGTTTGATCTTTCCTCCCAGTTTTGTCCTGACCCTCCTTTCTCTCTGCCAATATAGCCCACACTCCCTCTCGTTTCCGACCCATCTCCCAGGTCTCCATGTTCCCCACTTACCTGTGGGCTTTGCTCACCTGTCCCCGTCGAACCTAGTTTAAAGCCCTCCTCACTAGGTTAGCCAGTCTGTGTCCAAATAGGGTCTTTCCCTCCTCGAAAGGTGAACGCCATCTCTGCCTAGCAGTCCTTCCTCGAATAGCATCCCGTGGTCTAGGAAGCCAAAGCCCTCCTGGCGACACCATCTTCGCAGCCAGGCATTCACCTCCATGATGCATCTGTCTCTGCCCGGGCCGGCCCCTACCTTTGACAGGAAGAATCGAAGAGAATACCACCTGTGCTCCAAACTCCTTCACCCATACTCCCAGAGCCCTATAGTCACTCTTGATCCGCTCAGTGTCACACCGTGCAGTATCATTTGTGCCCACATGGATGAGTAGCATGGGGTAGTAGTCAGAGGGCTGGATAATCCTCGACAATGCCTCCGTAACGTCTCGGATACGGGCTCCCGGCAGGCAGCATACCTCCCGGGATGAAATGTCAGGGCGACAGATGGGCGCCTCCGTCCCCCTCAGCAGAGAGTCTCCGACCACCACTACCCTACGTTTCCTATTCGCAGTGGTGGCAGCAGACCTCCCAGCCTTAGGGGTACGAGGCTTCTCCTCCTTTACTGTAGGGGGTGATTCCTTCTTTCCTGTATCAAGAAGAGCATAACGGTTACCTATTACCACGGCGGGAGGGTTCGGAGCAGGGGTGGAGCACTGCCTGCTGCCAGAAGTAACCAGCTGCCAGTGTCCACCCTGAGCCATCTCCTCCTCCACCAGTGGTGTATCAGCAGTCCTGTGTACTGGGACAGCTACCTCAGCTGTCTCCACATGGACACTGTCCAGGAATTGCTCATGGATTCGGATGCTCCACAACCTAGTCACCTCCTCCTGTAGCTCTCCCACCTGCTGCCTGAGAGTTTCCACCAGCAGGCACCTTTCACATTGGATGATCCCCCCAGCCTGGATATCAGTAAGTGGAAATTGCAAGTTACAGTCTCTGCAAAACCACACCAGGATCTGGGTAGAAGCATCCATGCTCAGGCGCTCTGTCTGGCTACAGGCGCAGGTGGAGGAGACAGAAGCAGTGCTGGCACAGGTGTTGCGGGTCTTCCTAACCATCGTAAGCCTCCCTCTGTCAAACTCCCTCTCAAACTCCCCTGTCTGCAGCCCCCTGTCCGCTGAAAGGGTTGTTTAAGCAAGAAGTTTTGAATGTAGTTGGTTTATAGGTTTTAAGGGGAATAAAGGGAAAACAGATAGAACCGGCAAGGGACCCTCGCCCCCTTCCCGCTCCCCTTCTAAACTCCCTTGCGAAACTCCCTGTTAGCAGCCCCTGTTCGCAAAAGCTCCCTGGTCACTTGTGCGCTGCTTTATAAAGCCCTGGCCTGTATGAATGCCCTGCCCACTGATTAAGGCTCAGCCACTTACCAGAGGCTTCTAGCTTTCAAACCTTCCTTTGAAGCTCACAGCTTCCAACTGCCAGCCACAGCACACGGTCCTTCAAACAACCAAACAACCAAACACAAGCTCAGCACACAGCAAGTAACCCTCAAACACAAACAAACACACACTACAGACAGTCACTAAGTATCTGCTAAGGAAGCAGAGCATGGTACTTGTTAGCTCCGCATCCAAAATATGGGAATAAAGAGAATCTCAGCAACTGCTCAAAACTACAGATTATGGCACAGTTGTGAAAGTAGCAGGAACCTTAACTTGGGGATTCCTTTATTAGTGTCCCCTGTGCTTCTTGCACACTAACACAGGATGTGTTAGAAGAGCTGATCCTAATGGCTCCTCTTTCTGTTGTGATATGTTTGTTGTTGTGTTCTCATAAGTTCCTACTGTGGTTCCTAAGGCTTTCTTATACCCCAAACCAGCTGCACCTTAAATAATGGTAAGAATTGGATTGTAATCTTTTTCAAATCATATACTTATCTGACAATGGTTTGCCTTACCAAAGTGGCTTTGTTGCTGATAGGCATTTCTGAGTTTTGCATTGACCTTGCTTGAATCCTGCAGCAGAGCATACACTGGCAACAAGTTGCTGCAGGTTACAATAAGTTTTATGGAGCAGTAGGGTAGCTGTGCATCTAATTTAAATGCATGGAATGCACACTTTAGCATCAGGGCCAAGATTTTCATAAGTCACCAGTGATGGAGTGTCTTTAATTTTGACTGTCCATCTTGAGACAATTTAAAGGGGCCTAATTTTCCGAAAGTGCCCCCCTTAGGTGTTTCAGGTTAGATATCCAAGGATGCAGGCACTCAAGTTTAGTAGTTGCTTTTGAAAATCTTGGGTCAGCTTCTAACACCTCCCTCCTCCAATTCTGCCCATTTCAGCCACTTAGCATTCCTTATTATTTTTCTGCAAATGTAAAAGGCAGCAACCCTGGCTTAGTATGATGCAGCTCAAAGTCCACCCTGCTGAGCATGCTCAGTCTGAATGCTGTGTGACACTGCTCAGCCACCTCCACGCCTCTCTGCAAGATTGAGCCCTAAGTGAACATTGTTGTTATCTATGTTCAATTTAAAAGGAGCTGTTAGGAGATCATCATAAGAAAAAAGAAATAATTGTCAGACGGAATAACGTGTTCATTGAGTTTAGTTTAGTTTACCCCACTGCTGCACACTCAACAATGATTTGTTCAGATAAATAAAATTTACCATTTGGACTCCAATCCTGATGTCAAGGGACGCTTTGCTGCTGACTTCAGTGGCACCAGGAGTGGGCAATTACTGTATTAACAGCCTTTGGATATATTGATAAAAGTAAGATTTTTGCTTACAAATATATATTTAAATATCAGCTATTGTGCATGCACAGTCATTACTTTTTAGAAGTTTGAATGCCATTATGGTCCTGTTAACGTTAGTGGAAGACCTGCCTTATGTGAGGCCCTATGCACCTTCCACACTTGAAGTGTGGGCATTCCGCATCTTGCAATATCAGGCCCAGGGGAAGGATTCCCATACACTTACAGTGAGATGGTTGAAAAGCTACTGTCACTTCATTGTATCCCCCGGTAATGTGCTGAGGTTTTCTATTACCTTTCCTTAAGAAAATTCACTGTCAAAAACTACAGTAAAAGTATGTTAAATTATGTCTTAAATCAGCAAAAAGATGGAAATGCACTACTAAGGCTCTAACCTCCAATATGTAGATGCAGCCAGGCACTAGAGTAATTTTCCTCTAGTGCACCCCATTACGGCTGGTTACTGGAGAATGCTTGACTTCCAGTCCTTTTGTTGATTCAAATCATAACCTTAATATTCTTTGAAAATTGTACAAATACACTGCATTAGTGTGTGTGTCCACAAAGGGAGACATTCATACATATAGGAGGGTTCGTATAATATAGCTATTTCTTTTTTATATCATATGTCCTATACATTTATTCATATATGAAAAGAACATAATTATCAGGCAAAGCTAACTTTGTTGACAGTGCCCCCAAAATATAAATAGGAGAAATGTTTCACAAGCCATATTCAGGACAGTTTGAATATGAGACCTAACTTGTGACACATGTCAGCCTCAGAAAGATAGCGTATTTTCTGTTTTTTAAAGACTCAAACAAAACTTTTCACATTCTTCTTTGAAAAAATTACATTTGAAGTCCTTTTTCACCCAAACACATTTTCAGATAAGAGCACACAAGTCTTGACATTATTTCATTTTGTTATGCGCATCTGTCAAGGAACAGAGATATGATACAGCTACTAAAAACTGATGATTGTGGAACAGTGAAACTTGACAGCATTTCATTTCCTTTATGTTCTGATTATACATTTATCAAGAAACCTGTATCTCTTCTAGTTCAGCTAGAAATTGGTAGAATTCAAGAACTCAAAGGCTTGGCAAAGAACTGTCCTATTATTTGGTATCATCTTACATTTTAGAGAAGTTGCTTGGTTGAGTCATTGTTAAGGCTTTTGCTTCTCCTTTCATTATTGTGGTACACTATCCAGAGATCACATTTCTATAGGCCCTATAACTGCTCTGCAGCACAAATTAAACGCTGGGATATTTCATACATATACTGTGAAGTTTCAATGGTTGTCAATCATAGTTTGTAAAATATAAGGATTACAACCTGATATTAACATCCAAATCCATTGTGTTCATTTTATGTGTGAAAATGAGAAACCCTTGTGCAGACTCTAGATTTCCCAGCCTCTTTGTCACCCTGTTTTTAATTTATCTCCATGTTTTGAGCCAGTAAAATAATTTTACTTATCTGTTTAATGCAAAGTGATAAAATATATCTATTGATCTGAATTATCAGAACTTGAGTGGATCTACAGGTCATGTGAGGATTCAGTTACACTTTATGCTGATCAGAGAGCAAGGTCAGAGAGTAATTTTACTAATTCCTCAGTGAGTAAGGAGCTATTTCTTGAATTTTCTTAAACTAAAGTTCCTGTTCAGTTTCCTTAAGGAAATTAATTTCTGTGCTTACATTGCATTAATCTGGAGAACTATGTCTTTTGAAACTAAAAAATGTTTAACAATGATGGGTAAAATTAATCAGTGTATGGATGTTTTCTTTTTCTAGGTCTACTTCAGTAAAAATTACCCAGAAGTTATTCAGAATGGTCAAGTTGTCACAGATTCTTCAATAGATGCTGCCTCAGGATTAATCTTTTGTGAAACTGCACTGTGATCCAGCGTAGACATGATTGCTTTCTATAGAATGCAAACTGGAAACCATTTAAACTGGATGACTGACAGTGTTTAGAGTGGAGCTTTTTGCACTAGACAACAATCATATTTAATATTAAGAAAAATATTTCATCTAGCTCTTTCTTTAATTTTAGTGCAATACATTTATCATTTCCATCTAAATAAATTTCCATTGCTAAAGGAATTAGGCAGACCTGGTTTTTTTTTGTTTTTTTGGTTTTTTTTTGAAAGTTACATTGTAGAGACTTTCATATTTAAATCACAGATGCAGGGCATCTAACAATTCTGGGGTGCAGTTTTAGAGGTTATTAGAAAACCTGGAGTTTCTCTATTTTCCCATTTGGAAAGCATGTAAAATCAATTTGTTTAGTGTCACTTTAAAATTTGTCTTACAGCAGTTTTGATAATATAACACACCATTTTCTAATGCAGTACTTATTATATACTCCATCTTTTTAAAGCAGTTTTACAAACTGGTAGAAACAAGAACTGAACCAACCAAAAATACATTTTTATAGAGATAAGTTCACATATTGTTATAAATATAAATTTTTAAATTAAAATGTAATACAGGTATGGTGTGTGGAAATTAACGTAAAAATTTCAGTTTTCCTTTGCTGAGATCCAAATGCTGAAAATCAATATCAATCTACTGTATTTTAGAAGAAAATGGTCACATTTTGCTTATATTTTGCACTGCACCAATATTTAAATAATTTAATATACATTCCTCTTTTTATCCAGGTAATCAAAGAAAAAAGTATTAAAATAACTAGAGGAAATACTTATTGAAAGACTTGTCATCAGTAAACACTATGTAGTGGAAAGTTATCTTCTGCAAAACACATTGTGAAAATGTATACATTATTTGCATTTATTGTGCCTTAATACAATTCAAGCCAAATCTCCACCTGCAGGGTACACAGCAAATTCATTAAATATACTTTTTTATTTTACTGTTTTAAATTAATGCATTTAAAAAATTTGCATCAAGAATTCTGTTTAAATGAAGCTTTGTGAAGTTGCCATTTCAGCTCTCCCGGATAGAAAAGTATCACTTGTAATTTTGACAGGTTTCAGAGTGGTAGCCATGTTCATCTGTATCAGCAAAAACAACGAGGAGTCCTTGTGGCACCTTAGAGACTAACAAATTTATTTGGGCATAAGCTTTCGTGGGCTAAAACCCACTTCATCAGATGCATGGAGTGAAAAATACAGTAAGCAGTATAAATATTACAGCACATGAAAAGATGGGAGTTGCCTTACCAAGTGGGAGGTCAGTGCTGGAAATTGGACGCCATCAAGTTAGGCCTGAATAAAGACTGGGAGTGGATGGGTCACTACAAAAAGTAATTTTCCTTCTGCTGATTCTCACACCTTCTTGTCAACTGTTGAGAATAGGCCGCTTCCACCTTAATTGATTTGGCCTCATTAGCACTGACCCCCCAAATTTTTTAGTCTCTAAGGTGCCACAAGGACTCCTCGTTGTTTTTGTAATTTTGAGTGCCCCTACTGATATTGAGAAGAATTTAAGGAAAGAGATCTGTATTCTGTGTTCATAAGTTAGGTCCTGATCCAGTAAAGGACTTAGCATGTAGCACTGTCGTAGATGTGTCCTGCCAGCCACACCCATTTATGCCAAGGTTCAAAATAGAGACCAGCTGCTACAGATCTCTGCTCTGTGACATTCAAAGGGTTGCGGCATCCCTGGATGTGGGTTCTTTGTGGTATGGGCCACCTGCACAGCAGAAATGATCCATTTCCGCTGCAGTTTGTTTGCATTTGCCCATCTACACAGGTGTGGCATCTGGCTCCTAGTAACACTCTTTTATTGTTATCATGAAGTTCCAAAGTGAAATACTTTTCTGCTTGAACAGATTCTGACACCCTTCCTCCACAATTACTCCCGTTAAATTCAATAGGGCAACATTTGATAGGGCGCTATTTAACATAAGGGTCTCACATTCGGGCCCTTTTATTGGGCTGAGTCTAATCTCACCTAACCCTGTTTTACAGTGGTGCAATTCTATGGCCTTGCATGGATTTATGTCTTGGGTTTACAACAAGATAAGAGGAGAGTCATGCGTACTGTGTGTGATATGCTGGAGTTTTTAAACATACTACAAAAGTGCAGGCATCTGGCCATATTGTACTGTGAATCTATGCCCATCATTTCCATCAATATTCAGGAGAATCATGTGTATGGATCAAGGTATAATGTGGCTCTAGGCCATTTCAGCCAAAAATACTTCTATGGTATATTTGAGAGAAGAATCCAAAGTTTTTAGGTTCTGCCGGCTCACTGGCATGAAAGCTAGACAGATCTTGCTATATCAGACCCTCAACTAGTATACTTTACTTAGAATTAATTTGATACTGTAGCTTTTTGAATGCACGCAAAAATGTTAGGCATCTATGAGAATGCTGATTATGCTGTATAACGTGTTTTGACAGGACAATACTGGCTATATGTCTCAAATGTCAATGTCATAGAAATCAAACTGAAAACCTGTGTAAGTTGTTGAACAGGACAACTGGTACTGGTATGTTCATGTTCTAGTAACTTCTCTCAATGCCATTAAATCCACATTGTACTCTTTTAAAAAATAGTTCAGCTAAATAATGCAGGTTAGATTTAATCAATAAATCATTGTTCAGTTTTTTTCTTAACATCTGTTGCTGTTTTGTTTTAACAATTATGTAGGGTAACATTGGCTTGTCCATTTATTTTCAGATGAGTAAAAATGTATCAGTGCACCTTATTGTTAACAATCAAATTTACGGCTTAGCGTTTAAGTAAAGTGTGGGAGGGAATTGGCCTTCCATTTGTTGGGTCTCTTGACTGTTAAATGTACATAGTGTTGTTCCAGATAAGCCTTTTACATATCCATTTCAGGTAGAATTCAACTGAACAGTTCACACATCCACATTTGAAAATATTCTTAATTTACTTACAAGCAGCAAAGCTGGGTCATTATGATCTACATTCCTTAATAGGAATCTCTTGGAAATGAATTCCATCTTCTGAGTTATTAAAGCCTTTTAAAACAATTTCTTCACCATCAGCTGCCTTAAAATTCTCTAGAATCTTCATTCTAATATAGACTATTTCAAATACAACAACTCTGAAAGTCACCAGTGCATAGGTTTATTTGTTGGGAAAGAGACTAAGAACAACCCCTGGTTCCAATCTAAATAATTGTAATTTCGACAAATGACAGTCATGGCATATCTGATATCATCTGTTTGTACAAAATAGACAAATTGTGGAAGAATAAACACCATCAGGAGGAAGATTGCACAGAATTCTTTTAAATAATGTTTGTCCCTGGGTCCGGTGGACCTTGTGGCAATGTTCTGTTGAATTCCCTGCACCAAGGTCTCACTCTTAGGGTAGATCTATGCTAAAGTGCAGCAATACCAGCATGCCCAGTCCTTGAAAGAGGCCATCACTTTCTTTGATCAAGATCAGTTTTTCTGGTTGTCTGAGTGATTGTTGACTGATTCCAGTAAACTTTCCAGCCTATGGTTAGAAAAATAGTGGTATGATGCATATAGATAAAATTGTGGGGAAATGGAAGATCCTTAGGACTCCCAAAAAAGGTATAGAGACCTCCCTGAAAAGTATTGCTTTTCAGATTGCCTGGTCTCTCTCCCCCACAAAAATCTGACCTTTTCATATCTGTTTTCACTCTTCTTTTTTTAAAAAGACTAATTATTTCCTCTGATGAGGGTGAACTTCTGACATTTTAACAGAAGAATGTGGATTTCTACATACCCTTTAGTTTTTCTTGGAATTTGTGTAATGACTGTTAGATTGTTATTGTCATAGAAGGGTTTTTAGTTGACTGTATGGTATGACGTATTGCTGTGTGAAAAAAGTGGGATGATAAAATCCTCAAAAGTATGTGTAACCCTGTTGTAATGATCACACATATTATCATGTAAGGACACAAATGCAGTATTGCACTTGAAATAATTTGTATTGTGGCACTACCCAGAGGCCTCAACCAAGATCAGGGCCCCTTACAGTTGTGTTCGATGCTATAAAAACACATGGTAAGAAACGGTCCCTTCCCCAGAGGGTTTACAGCCTAAACAGACCAGATGGACAAAGGGTCGGAGGAGAAACAGATATTTGCACTATCTGTCACTGCCCTGACTCCAGAAGAGTGTTCTGAGTCAAGAGGGCCTTGCTGATAAGGAGCCTGGATGGAAGGGATGATGGACTGAGGTTAACGCTGCCCCCTTCTCCTGCCGTTGAGGATGCTGGTGTGAAGGCTCATTTGTGCAACATATTCCCCTTTGGAATGAATAAACTAGACCCCTGAAGGGGTTCAATATGTATCAGCCTCACTGAACTTATTGAAAGCACACTAAGGGAAACCAAAGCAGAGACACAACCTTGGTTCCTCCACAGGCTGCCAGAGATTGCTCCAGCTGTGAGTGCCCACCATTACACCTGTTTGTTGCTGGGATGTTTACTATATTAATATATTGATTTAGTTTAATAGCAGGCTTTAAGCAAACAAGCAGGAAGAAAGGAATTAATTCAAAATGACTTTGACAAATTGGTGAATTGGTCTGAAATCAGCAAGATGAAATTCATTAAAGACAGTTGCAAAGTACTATACTTAGGAAGGGGAAAAAAATCAAAAGCACAAATACACCATGGGAAATAACTGGCTAGGAAGTAGTACTGCTGAAAAGCATCTGGAGGTTTTAGTACGGGGTAGGCAACCTTTCAGAAGTGGTGTGCCAAGTCTTCATTTATTCACTTTAATTTAAGGTTTCGCATGCTGGTAATACATTTTAACGTTTTTTTAGAAGGGGTCTCTCTCTAAGTGTATATTATATAACTAAACTATTGTTGTATGTAAAGTAAACAAGGTTTTCAAAATGTTTAAGAAGCTTCATTTAAAATTAAATTAAAATCCTGATCTTACGCCGCCAGCCTGCTCAGCCTGCTGGGTGGAGGGTTCAGGGCAGAGGGAGGGGTGTGTGTTGGGGTGGGGAGGTGCAGGGCAGAAGGCTGGGGTGCTCCCAGCCCCCTGCCCTGAGCGGCTCATGGCAGGGGGCTGGAAGGGATATGCCCTGTTCCACCCCCTTCCCCCAGGCTCTGTCCCTACCTCTCTCTGCCTCCTCTACGGAGCAGCGAGCACGCTGCCGCTCGGCTCTGCGCCTCTGGGGGG